CAAAACATGGTCTGGAAACTCAGTAAACTTCAAAGCGGTTATAATGAGCTGGGATTTTACGTTGAGCCGTACCTTAAACCATGTACATCCTTTGTTTTAGGTTTATTAATATTTAACTAACATGGTTGAATGACTGAATTGAAACGTCGCTGTTGGATGATTCGTTCATTATACTGAAATACAATGTGTTCATAATTGACTGTGCACCGTGCACAAAACTGCATAAACGCAAAACAAAAAGATGGAACAAAGACTTTAGCGGTGTTTCCAAACCATGTTTTGAAAGACTGTAATTAGAGTAAACGCTGCCACGTCCCAACCAGTGCGCACCAAAGAGGCAAGCCCTCCCCCCCTTCCCGCTGGACGTCTATCATTTAGAATATTATCAGGGGGGTAAATGCCTCCCAAAAGCGCACCAGCCAGGACCATGACGTCAGCATTTTGATGATGAATTACGGTCACGCCAAAATCATTGGAAAACCATAAGAAAAACCAATAAATTGGGCTTCTGTATGACCGACCCTGTGCCCTGGTAAATTCTATTTCACTTACCCCCCACGAAAACGCGATTTCAGCCATATTTTGCCGTCTTGTTTGCTTTTTATCGCCGAATCACGCAAATATCATCCAGTTATTGTACTTTTACATAATCATAAATGGCTGAAGAAGATTTCAAAGAAGGTTTCATCCACTTTTGAAATAGTGCAGTGTATTTTATCTTCGATAATGTGTCCTTCGATATCTCGTCAAATTGCCGCCATTTTAATGGCTCGCCGCTTCTCTGCCCGATAAATGCCACTTCTTCGTTTTCATATGTATTTAGATTACATTATCCAAGAGTACTTCTTTGTAGAATAGTCCCAATCCAAAAATTGCAAATATTATTTGTACTTGGGAGGAAAAAACCTCCCATAATAGTTGTCCTGTCAGAATTCAAAAGAAGTAATTTAAAAGTCACGCGCAAGTTCGCGAAAACACCTCGTGGGTTACATAACAGGGGGTAAATATTTTCACGAAACGTTTGTTCGCCACCACAGCAGCCTAACTAAATGTATTATTTTTTTGTATTTTTATAATTGATGATAAAAATACGCAAATATTTTTTTTTCTTTCATAAATCACAAATATACAATAAATATAATGTACTTAGTTAGGTTGCTGTGGTGGCGAACAAACGTTTCGTGAAAATATTCACCACCCCCTGTTATGTAACCCACGAGGTGTTTTCGCGAACTTGCGCGTGACTTTTAAATTACTTCTTTTGAATTCTGACAGGACAACTATTATGGGAGGTTTTTTCCTCCCAAGTACAAATAATATTTGCAATTTTTGGATTGGGACTATTCTACAAAGAAGTACTCTTGGATAATGTAATCTAAATACATATGAAAACGAAGAAGTGGCATTTATCGGGCAGAGAAGCGGCGAGCCATTAAAATGGCGGCAATTTGATGAAATATCGAAGGACACAATATCGAAGATAAAATACACTGCACTGTTTCAAAAGTGGATGAAACCTTCTTTGAAATCTTCGTCAGCCATTTATGATTATGTAAAAGTACAACAACTGGATGATATTTGCGAGATTCGGCGATAAAAAGCAAACAAGACGGCAAAATATGGCTGAAATCGTGTTTTCGTGGGGGTAAGTGAAATAAAATGTATTATATTTAAAGAAAACAATGACAATCCTTATGATATCAACAATATTTATATTAAATTAAGCATAGTTTTTCACCCCATGATATTTTTTTTAGGAAATAAGAATATTTAATTTCTGCCAGGCATATTAGTTATTTTATGCATAATTAGCAATTTACCTGGGGTGGTGTATGGTCATTTTCTTGTAAAATATTATACTTAGACACATTTTTTCTTCCAATGACCACCCTAAAAGCAACACTTTTAAACACTATAAGCACTTCAGAAAGACTATCGCTTTTTGTTTTCTGAAGTTAGAGCTATGTCGACACTGCCGTTTCAGGGCGGGGTCATTTTCAGGACTTTCGTCCCGGATTCAGCTTTTGGCACATATGCCATGTTGACCGCCATGGTCATTTTACCCTAAAACAGTTGAGATTACCTGTGCTAAATGAAACGCATACAAACTCATATACAGGTCCTAGACTAAGGCCAAATACTAATTGTTTTCTTTAGTTAAAATATTGGTGGCCATAGAACTAACAGAAATAGCTCCTGAATGTATGTTTTTTGAATCATTAATTGTCGACGGAATTTTGAAAGTGATCAGGAGTAGAATTTGCTTATTTTTTTAAATGGGGAGCAGTTTTACTTATATAATACTGAACCACAATAAGTATCATTCCATCTGGTAAATTCTGGGCGTTGTCTGTCACTCCACTAAGTAAACAGTTCGTTGTCATCGTTCTGAATTTAATATTTCGCATAACCAGTTCTCTCTTAATTTTGTAAACAATTTTCCGCTTGCATCAGATATCCACCAACATGGCAAAGTGAAACAACATTACTGGCTTCACTGTAACCAATATACCAAGGAAAAACCCCGCACACGTTGGGGAAAACCAATTAACCAAAAATAAAATGTTATGAATAATTCAAAATTGACAGTAAATATGAAGATTTTGTAGGTCAGTGGAGGCATGGCCTATCGAAGGGAAGATGGCGGTGAAACTCATTAGAATAACAATATAACTCATTATCTATGTTAAACAAAGTCTGTTCATAAATCTGGTCGTTTCACCGTCACGTGTGTATTGTATTTGTACCAAATCCACCAATAGCAATTTCCAGTTTCCCTATATTTTAATTGTTCGAGTAACGGGTAGGTGACTTTCCTAAAACATTGCTATTGGTTAGTTGGGCAAGAATACAATACACACGTGACGGTGAAGGACCAGATTTATGAATAAACGTTGACCAACGTTAACATAGATAATGAGTTATTGTTATTCTAATGAGTTTCACAGCCATCTTCCCTTCGATTAGACTTGGATCAAGTCCTTCTCTCTAGAGTCCGAATCTCTAGAGTCCGAATCGCGAATCAACGAGATGGAGCGCGGCGCGAGAGAATGGAGGGACCTCGCGCGTCCGATCCCTCGGACTCTTGAGAGACGGACTTGTCCAAGTCTACCCTTCGACAGGCTATGGTTCAGGCAATATGACCACGCGGGTAATATAGCTCGAGTATTCCCGCCATATGTTAGTATTGAAAGCACGGCATTGAAGAGAAGCACTAATGTGGAAATGATCACTATACGCGCACTTCACGCAATATTTTCTTGTCAAAAACACAATATTTCGATCGCCAAAATACAAGTAAACTACATATTTTATACTGTATACGTGATTACGTTACAACAATTGATTTTTTTTTAATTAAAAAGGTTAACTCGTCTCGTATTACAAACCTGATTTACTGCGTACAAAGGTTGTTCCAGTTGGGTATCTAAAATGGCAGAGCCAGAAAGAACATTTCATCCTGTGGATTATGTCTTGTTTGGTTTAATGTTGTTAGTTTCTGCAGGTATTGGTATATACCATGGCTGTACTGGCGGGAGACAACGTACGACCAGTGAATATTTACTTGGTAATCGTAGTATGCAGACATTTCCCATCGCTGTATCGCTACTAGCCTCTTTTCTTTCTGCTATAACTTTACTCGGCGTTCCAAGCGAGATTTTTACATACGGAGCACAATATACGGTGTTGCTCTTTTCTTATTTTATCCTCACAGCAACCGCTGCTATTGTATTTGTTCCAATTTTCCATGGATTGCATTTAACCAGTGCTCACGAGGTATTGACACATATTATATGATTTTATACATGTACATATTCACCGTAATTGCAGTTCACCTGAGGGCAAGCCCGACTTTATATTATTCAAATCGCGATAATAAGTACTCAACATAATAACATATACCTGTATATTCCATTTGGATCGAAATTAGGAGCTGTAAGCGTATTAAATACTGCGCCTTTCTCGTTGTCTGATTTGGTTAATTAAATCCAAAGGGTTTTGTACAAGAAATAGAACATATGCGTTGCAGTTTAATATATATATGCAGTTTAATATATATATATATATATATATATATATATATATATATATATATATATATATATATAATAGGAAGTAAAATAAATACATATTTTATGTCTCTCAGGTAATATATAAAGGATGGAGTTCTCCGAGAGCAATATCACATACGTACCCTTTTCTAGATATATGCAAAATTAAAAACAAAGATTAACATACGATAGCATTCCTCCACTCGTGAGCTCATTTACCGAAGCAAATGTCCTGGAGGAATGCTATCGTATGTTAATCTTTGTTTGTAATTTTGCATATATCTAGAAAAGGGTACGTATTTGATATTGCTCTCGGAGAACTCCATCCTTTATATATATATATATATATATATATATATATATATATATATATATATATATATATATATATATATATATATATATATATATATATATATATATATATATATATATATATATATATATATGCGAAATCGTTCCAATTGTATATGCGAAATATTGTCTATCGCGAGTTTCTCAAATTTCATCTCAAATTGCAGTCGTGTATGTGGGGACGTCTAACACATTGGTTTCTAAATACAAGTGCCATGAACAATAGCGAGGCTCAGCCGAGTCATTGTTTATGGCACTGGGGATTTGGAAGCCAAGTTTAAAACGCTAACGAGGATTTGAAATTGCTTCTCTCACATACATTAGCTATTCATAGCCATGAGGCATGGGGCATTGACGATTACATTCGCTTGAAAGTTTGCATGAAGTGTAAGGAAGCATTCAGTTCGATTTCGTAGATGAATTTTGTTGCCAAAAGAGCATGGCATCTTCTTATAAGAAAAAGCGGTTTCGAGAGCCGGTATGAGCACTGTATTGAAAATGTCAGTAAATTAAAGAAAGCCACTCCACGTAGTGCGATGTACAAAAATCGATGGGCCGTTCGCATTTTTCAAGAGTGGCAAAGCGAGCGTAAAAACAAGCAAGCTAATGATGAGGAACTCAATCCGAGTATTGATATTTGAGGTAAGCCATGTGTTTGTGAATTTTGTATTTGGGGATATTTTCAAAATACAGTAAAGTGTATTACCGAAATCAGTAGATTGTCTTTTCCGGAAGTTGAAAAGACAATCAAAAGCCAGTAGATACTTTCATGTTTTATGACGTCACGATGAAAGAATGTAGCGTGGAACTTGTAAGTTATTTTTATCATTTATAGACCTGGAGCGAGGGGGATTCGGCAAAATATTACCCGAAGTGATGATATTTCCCGAGGGGCTTTGCCCCGAGGGAAATATCATCACTGAGGGTAATATTTCGCCGAATCCCCCGAGCGGAAGGTCTATAAATGATATATTATACCGAAAATTAAAAGCCTCCAAGTTGAGAATTAAAAACTTAATACATTACACATACCTTCGGCTTCGTGAATACGATGTTTTATTTTCGGATTAACGCCGTCAATGCTTTTAATGCCGTTCTAGTACTTTTGGTCGTGTTTTTAGAATGTCTTTCGTCTAAAATTCTGGCAATTTCTAGATGTTCTTCCGATGCAGAATCATGGCTGGCCATTTTGAATTAAATAAATAACAATTTCCCGCTTTTTTCTCCACACGTCAGTCTCGTGAGTTGCGTGGCTTCCACGATTTTAAATATCCACCGCTGTACCGGTGAATACGAGGTGGGCGCTGGTCAAAAGGACTGCAGAAATTAATATCCACCGCTCTACCGGTGAATACGATGTGGGCGCTGGTCAAAAGGACGGCAGAAACTAATATCTACGAGTAGATGTCGGAATACGACGATATATTTCATCCTCACGTGGGCAAAATGGAGCATTTTAATTGGACGTTTTGAATTTGAGGTATAATATTACTTATTAGTAACTCCCTGTAGTAACTTTGCATTTCTTCTCCCAGTGCCTTCCCACGAATAAAAGTTCTCCCTAGTGTGAGGCGGTTTCTACAAAAAAACGAAAACCGACCAAAAAAACCGAAAAACCGAGTGAACAGGTTTTTTTAAAAAATATGTTCGAAAATCGGTTTAAAAAAGACAACAACACACGCTATTGAATATTTTAGACTTGTCTTCGCAGACGTCCGCCTTTATTACTAGCGAATCAAAATTCACCATCGCTTGATCCGCTTATCCGTTCAAGACTTCAAGCTCGCGCGAAATTGTAGAATGATATTTATAACGTAAGGTATTTTGAAGATATCATCAAATTTCAAACAAAATCTCTTTAGTTTTCGTGTGTAAATGCCAAAACTTGATTCATTTGCAAGAAACTCGTATAAGTCTGTTTCGATTTCGGTTTTCCCCCGGTTTTTTGGTTTTCCGGTTTTTCTCCAAAAGTATGAACATCGTCATCGAGTAATTCGGTTTTAAAAAAACATCGTTTTTTTTTGGTTTACCGGAAAACCGCCTCACCCTAGTTCTCCCTTTGTTCAAAGGCTTGTTTTGTGTTTGGCCAGCCATTGTCACTTTGTCAAACTAAATAAAGTTACTAAGTAAGTAAAATAACGTACAAGTTCTACGTACGCTGCATTCCTTCACCGTGACGTCATAAAACATGAACGTTTCTACTGGCTTCTGACTGTTTTTTGAACTTCCGGAAAAGTATCTGAATTAAATTTGCAATTTGTATTTAACCCCTCAATTTCTCTCAGCTTCAAAGCCCTGCCCACTTGAATATATTAAGAGTCTAATCTGGATTGGGTTTTCATGTACAAACACGTGAGCTGAATGAGGACGTATTATTGGCCGAATTGCTATGAATTTCTTATATGATGTGTGAGAATGTGACATTTTCTCGATAGACCGGCAGAGACTGAGAGACATCAAAACTTTGCAACTCGTCAAGTGTCGAGTAAAGTCTACGGTCCTCAAAAACTCGTTTTATTCACTTTTTAATGCAAGATAATTACTTATGCTTAGCTTAGGTGTCTGGCCGCCAGTGAACTCAATCTATTTACCTGGGGCCGGTTGTATAAAACTCTTAATCACTTTTTTAATCACTATTTTGTAGTTAAACAGCGATTAACTTTAATCATGTAGTTAACTCGGTTGTATAAAAACTAAGTGGTTAGCGTTAACTGTAGTTAAAACGTAGTTAAAGTTAACGGTGCTTTAGGGTATCGTTAATTTCTCAAAACGTAGTTGAAAATGGCGCTTGTATAGGAGGGAACAACATTTTTCAGTAAAACAATAATGAAAAGCAACGCTTACCTGGGATTTTCAATCGCTATCTTCCCTGTGAATGTTTCCTGACAATATAAACTCTTCAAACGCTATCGCTTTTCTTTCTTGGCGAAAACAAAATACATTTTTGCACGGGAAGATTTCTCGAAGACGACGTAGGGTCCATTACACGAAGAAACATGATATATAATTGCCAAACAGTTTTATTTTGGTTTAACGTAGACATCTCAAGTGAAGAACGAGCTTCTTCGTTGATTTTAAACTTGTTTCCTTGTTTACTCTTCACTGTTTTGAATAAAATTCCCACCTATTTGCAAAATGTGAGTCCACAATCATGTCAGAAATGCTTGTAAGCGGTCGTTAATCACTCTTTACTTTATGTAACTTTACCGTTTAACCACCCCAAGCAAGCCCCACTCAAGTTAACTACGTGATTAGTTCATCATCCGACAAACTACGTTTTGTGCAACGCGATTAAGTCGTGTAGTTAAAGAATCATTGTCAACTACAATGCATTGCGCGCTCGTGTTTGTTTATACATACGGGAAATGTGCAATTAAATATGATAATTATTCGCGTGATATGATAAGTAACTTCGCTGCTAGCCAGCCTGCTATTACAGTATTATTTGAAAGCCTTCGCAAATAAAGAGAAATGTCTGACTCCGATTCAGATTCAGATTTAAATGTTTCACGTTATGATCCGGAAGATAATTTAAATATGTACGGTTCACCAATTCATACGGAACAGCGTGGGAATAACGATATTATTGACGAGGAACAACCTGGGCCGTCGAATGTTGTCCTTGACCAACCAAATAGACGAAGTCAAGTAAGTTGAATATTTGTATTCTATGGATGGGCTAAAACCTACATCCATGAAATTCTGATAGGTTTTTTGTCAAATGCATTAAATATTCTAATCTGAATTGTTGTTTTACGTTACAGTTCTGTAGCTGCAAGAACACTTGCAGTAAAGGCAGCGGCAGAAAGAAACGTGGTTGCCCTTGCCGTGACGATGGGTTGCGTTGTGCCGACATGTGCAAGTGTGGCACTAAAAAGGCGAGCTGCAAAAATAAGGATTGTGCAAGCGGCGAAGCTGATCCCCAGAATGCCAACGCTGGCCGAAATGCCTTTGAACGCCACCAGATCGCCGTGGAAGAAGCAAAACAACAAATTACGGTGAGCGACTGAGGCTTGTACATACACGATACAATATTATAGTATGATTCTCAAACTGTATACTTGGCCCACATGCCCCCAAAGTTACCTACATGTGATAAAATTTTTGTATTGTCACTGTTTACGTGCATAACAAAGTACATATATTGTAATAGAAATTCATTGGCACACTGGATGAAGGACAAAAGGATAGAGTTCTCCTAGAACTACTTTCAAATGGAAAAGGGAGCTTGGATTATGCAAAGAATATTGTGGAATTTGGTGGTGCTGTTCCTTCTCTACCTCCTACTAAGCCATCCTGGTGCACTTGTGGTGTTTGCCGGCCAATGCCCACCGAGGAGGAAAATAAATGCTGTGGTAAAATCAGGTGTGTCACATCATTTGTAACATTTCAGAACACTTGTACCGACAGAGATGTTCTTGTCATGGCAATCAGAGGGCGGTGTGATGTCAGAGCCGAAGAACCAGAGTACTCTACTAACAGTTTCAGAAAGGCTGCTTATCGCCAATACATCTTGTGGAGATACAAGAAATTAGGAAGGGGAAATAGAAGGGTGTGCCCTTCTTGTGTGGTACTTGCAATAAGGCAATTGTACCCTGCACAGGATGGAATATATATGGGATTTAAAAGAGCATGAGCAATTAGTTGCACAGTTACAGTTGTCACTAAATATTTTGTTATGAGTGGTAAATCCAAGTAAAGACAGATTTTATTCACCTACATTTTAATTAGTCCCCTATATTGTCTTTCTAGAAGATAATTAACCCATTGAGTGGCAGCACTCTCCACTTGACATGTAAAATCATCTGGCACTAGACAGAGTAAAATACTGAAGTAGGGCGCATCTGTGTACATTGCCACTCAAAAGGTTATTTCACAATGCGCCCTAAGCCCCGTTTACACTATGCTCAATTTTTGGTATCGTACCACTTTTTGGTTCTTGTAGGTAGTCCAAGAACCAAAAAATGGTACGGGTACCAATTTTATCCGTGCTGTACCAAAAATTGAGTGTAGTGTAAACAGGGCTCTAATTTAGTATTTACTCTGTCTAATGCCAGACAATTTTACTTGTCAAGGGATGAGCCTTGGACATTAAATCTTTATTATAATTGTGTATATTATATGTGCACCAACATTTTAGCAACATATGACCACATTATTGTATGCTTGTGAAAATTTTAATATAGTCCTTGAATAACCCCTCGGACATTTCATATTTACAATTACATTATGTACACCAGTTTAATTATTAAACAATAATTAATTCATGACCAAGAGATATACAACAAAACACATTTCATTTGTAACTTTCTCACTAAGGCCAATCTGAAAGTTAATATTGTTTATCACCAACCATTTTCAAAATAACAGTGTGGGATTTTTTTCATTATTCATTCTTTTTTACCAATCAAATTGTGCTTGATAATTCCTTGCAGGCCAGTAGTAACTCAGGCAAAATTCAGACAAATTGATAAAACAAGTTGAGTTGAGATTGCTCTATATACGATGCTACAAAACCTTTATCAGGCAACCAATCAGAGGTTTATTGCATTTTTTTAATAAATAGCAAAATTTTCCAGCTAAATTCCATGCAGGAGACAACAATATCAAACACGATATCGATTTTCATTTGCTCTAAATTCCTCACAGCTCACTTTAGTTCTTACTCAAATGTACTTTACTGCACATCTCTCTGTCAATATGTACAGTATATAATTATTACCTGTATATTATGAGATAAATCACTATATTAAATATTACAGTATGATTTATTATAAGGTTTGTTGTCATCTTCATAGCATGTCATTCAGTAGAAGAAACCGTAGAAAATCTGGAAAGTGATCTTTGTACCAGATCACTGGTTTTTGGTACAGGTTTCATTGCAATTGATGGTGCAATGGTTTTGGGGTGATCACTTGACATCTCACTTTTTCTTAACACTGTTTTTTCATCATCTATCCTCTTTCTCATGATTCGGGATACAAGAGTGGGCCAAAAGTCATAAGATTTCTCCTCTTTAACAACTTGGACTCTCCAATTTTTTGACCTCTTACTGTAAACCTTGTGGTGTTTTAGGCTGCCACTCAAACTTAGAGAGGGATTCCTGTCCAAATTGTTGTTGTGATCAATCACAGCCACTAAAGTTCTTGCCAAATAAGCTTCGTTCCTATAAAGGATAGCAAATATATAAGAGTATTAGAATATACTGTACAGTAGAATGAAAGATGACATGAGCACATGCATCCATTGTATTATGCCAGGCAAGTTTACTTGGATAAATTTTTGAACTCATTGAGTGCCAGCACCCTCCCTTTTTTCTCGCATTTGGCATCAGACAGAGTAAATAATCTGACATTCAATATATAGTAAAATTATAAAGTGGGGTATTTCAGGGTAAAGAATGGCAATTAAATAGGTTAAATTAGGTTAAATAACTTTTTATTTAGATGCTTCAAAAAACATAAAATAAAGTGCTCATACTCACTGAAAACTAACTCTTTTTGGTGCATACTTCAATAACATAGAATTGAAGTTTTCCAGTTTGCTCGTGTGCCTAAAACATAAATAGTTTTAGCTCATACATTACATGTACAATACAGTGGGGGTGGGGCACTGGTACAATAGGCATGTTTCTATTGTATTATATAGTACTATTGCTCCTGAGCACAGCAATGAAACAATCATTTACCTGAATGTCACATACTGATCCAATGTCTTCAGAAACCTGGGATCGGTAACAATCTTCCTTATTGCGCCAATGGCTTTCGAGTTTTTGTTCAGAATGGGCTTTTCCTTTTCCGTTTCCACCAATGGGCCATGGTTACACTGACCATCTGCCCATTCATGCTCTCCAGCCACATGGTGTATTACTCCAAACCAATTGTCCTAAAGCAAATGTCAGAGACATTAGTCCAGAACATGGTATTGGAAAAACTCAGCAAAAAAAAATTTTTGGTAGAGAGACTTCTTCAATATACTTCACCATCAATCAAAAAATTTTCCTACAAAATATATATTGCAATATTTGCTGATGTTATTGACTGACGACCTATGTCAAAATAAGTGTATCTGTAATCAACAAACATGTTTACAAAAGAAAATGTCTTCCAGTTTGCAGGGGTATTTCGCGGGGGGTCCCCCAAAACATCACAAATCCCCCCTCCCGGAAAAAATGTGAGCATAGGAAATGACGTCTGGGTTTGTAGGAGGGGAGAATCCCCCTCCCTCAAATAAAATTTAAAAACCCTGAATTTTTTTTTTTGGGGGGGGGGAGCTCCCACATACACAAGTTCCAAAAACCCCTGAGTTCGCACAAGTTTACATTTTATTCAGCTCATGTATATAAATATTCCAATATCATCAAAAATAGTATTATAAACTGGTATGTACATAAACACCTATCGCACATAGCTCAAAATTTAAATGATTACCTTCAACACTTCTGCATCACCATTACAGTGCTTGGCAATATGTCAAAAGTGGTTTCTGATTGGTTCTGACCATTCAGCAACTGATTCACATCCTTTCACTTTGGCTGCCTGCAAGAACCAGAAAAGCATATATATTTACAGTATGGTATTCATGCTGTGATGCTTTTCTACCATTTCTATAATCGTTAAATCAATCTCAACCAAAATGTATTTATCATTGTCCCAAATTGTGATCATATATCCATGACACTCAGTCACCAAGCATAATTTACAGTGACATATAAATTAGGTTTCAGATCAGATTAGTGCCTAATTATATTTGATGACTGCGTGTTGTGGAAACAATGGCATTATAATCATGATTGGGCTGAATAATTAGTAATTAGTACTGAGGTCAAGCAGGAAAATGATATGTTGCGACATTGCTATAAACAATTACAAAAAAAGATAAAACATTGGAATTACCTTTGCAAGCTTCTTGGTCAACTTGATGGTCTTGTGCCAAATATCCAAGGCATGAAACAGGTGTGAGAAGTGATCTGGATACTTTTCTATAAAAGAAAAATAATCAAAATAATTAAGGATAAGATTTACTTATGCTCCCAAATATCCCTGAATACTTTTGTGATGGATTTCCATCATGAATATGAAACGAAAAACATCGGATATATAAACCCTGATTATCTGTCTAATATACATTTTAGACAAGTTTACTGTCTAATACGAGAAACTTGTCTAACTTTTCCATTGTTGAGATAATAATAGATGGAAAAGTTGAGAGAGGAAACATATCGCTAGCTGAATTTGTATCTTACAGTACATGAGTTTCCCATGTCAGACGGAAATTTGTCTTCTAATACGAATTCATCAATTGGCAAAGCTCTCTACAATAAAAGTCCTAATTATTTTACTTACATGAACTAAAGATGAAATACTGATTTTCATAATTTCACAAATGAAAAGATCACAATTAAATGTGTTTATAATTACCTTTCATTCTTCTGACTAGAGCCATAACTGCAGTAGATGCATCTGTGACAACCTCACTGACCACCAAGTTTCCAACAATTCTTTCAAGAAGTGTTTTTAAGCCAGCAACTTCCATATTTGTTGATACTCCACCAGTTTGCCTTTTGTCTATCACCTCCAGGTCAACAATGACCTCCAGGAACTGCTCCATTAGTACATAAGTACCATATTTGGCAGAGAATCCAGGAGAATCACTTCTGCCATCTCCACACAAGATTAAAGTCTCATTGTTTAGTACAGCCCAAATTTCCTTCTTCATTTCTTCCCAGAGGGATGACACTTCAAGCACAACGTAGTTCCTTTGGATTCTGTGGAATGTTGATGCGGACAAAAAACCAGTTCCAAGAAATGTGAACAGTGTCCTCACCTTTTCAAAATTGTTGCCGGTAATTAAAATAGATGCAGCCATTAGCAAGGTGTTTACAAACACCTTCTGCCCCCTCTTCTCACATAACACCTTCGACGATGTCCAGTCATCCGCATGACCATTTTCACATGTCCACATAACATGCAAAACACCACCTTTAATGTGCCAACCTTTAACTTCACCCTTGGCCATACATGTTTTGATCTGACAATTTTGAAACATGTTCAAAATAATGTCAACATCAACAACAACCCGATCCTTGCTGAAATACTTTTTGTGTTCATCACTCTGGACGTTCATTGCTTCAAATTTTTCTTTTAACTTTGATTGCAACCTCTTTTTCCATTCTTCTCTTGTTTCTGGGCCATATTGCTGCTCTACCACAACTTCGATGCTACCACAATCATCTCCGTAGCTGATTTCCATATCTTCTTCACCTTTTGTGGATGATGAACCCTCAGAACCACTTAATGTACGTTCATCATCATATTCAGATTGTGAATCACTGGAAACAAAATCAGATATCAAAATTATTATCAGATCAATTTTTGAATGAGGTTGAGCAGGATATCCAGAATTATTCAGACCAAGGTTGTAGAATAATTTGTAACATTATACTATTGATAACGCCGTAGGACAACAAACAACGGGTGATTTAGTTGATTGACGTAAGAAATGTATCGTATGTCATAAATAATATACTTCGAATTGATTGTCAGATTGAAAGCACGAGAGAAAGCCAGAAGGATTGTCATGTTATGTATTTTATCGTTTGAATAGTTTTAAATAAATATGTTTTAAAGTACGCGTGTGTGTTCTATTTCCGATGGTATTGTTCTGATAGTATACAGTCCCCACGAAGCGCAACTGTTTTATCATTCATTCTATGACAGTAACAAATAAAAGAAACAAAAATTAAAAACAAATGAAAATTATTAACTTTTCATAAATTTTCCCGTCAATTTTGTAGTTTCACACAAAGTACCACTGAAATATCTCAGCCTTCGGTAGAATAACCTCTACAGTTTACTGTTTCCGCTGAAAATAGCATGGCCACCGACAAATACCTAAAATTATTTGTAGGCTTGTAGCCAATGAAAAAACAAGAGCACAGTATAATGAACAATTATAATACTTTATACTATTTAGGGTGATGCGGTTTTTCGGTAAACCGGAAAAAACCGAATTTTTTTTAAAACCGAATTACTCGATGTTACTTTTGGAGAAAAACCGGAAAGCCGAAAAAACCGGAAAAACCGAAAAAACCGGAAAAACCGAAAAAACCGGGAAGAAACGAAAAAAACCGAAGAAAAATCGGTATTTTACTACCGGAAAAACCGGGAAGAAACGAAAAAAAACGAAGAAAAACTTGCGGGGCAAGTGAGCACGCCGGCACGAGCACAACTTAAACCGGAGAAAGTTGACAAACTTGTATTCCTGGCGGAGAACTTATAGTGGTTTACGCAATATTTCAATATTTGTACATAGTTTATTGTAAAAATTATATCTTGTACACTGCATGTTCCTTTTATACTTCGTAGCAAGGGTTAATATAATTGTTTTTAAACCGAAGTCTTGCGTGAGTACTGAGTAGCGTGTTGTGTCTTTTTTACCTTAGTTTCGATTTTCGAACGTATTTTTTTAAAAAACCGGTTCACTCGGTTTTTTCGGGTTTTTTTGGTCGGTTTTCGGTTTTCGGTTTTTTGTAGAAACCGCCTCACCCTAATACTATTCACTCATTATTATCAACATTTTCAAAATGCCATAGTATTACAGTAGATCCAGATTTACTTTATTACCAAAAGTAAAATTCAATTTCAATGGCAATGCTTGTTGCAATTTGTCTTGCAATAATTTTATTAATTATACAAAAGCCATTGTAAGGTAGCTTTCATTCAATAACAGCTAAAAGAACTTACAACTCATCCATATCAGTAACCAAGTCAACATTTCTTGGAACTTCCATTGTCGACGTTTCACTTGAGACAGAACTATATAAATATTAATCCATAGAGAGGGAGGTCAGGCATATTTGGAACATCTGATCCCATTTACTTACCCATGCGAGTTTTATTCAGGGCCAGATAGCAGGGTTGGGAAGGTTTTCACTAGATATGGGGGCACAAAAGCTAAAAATCTATGGGCACAAAACAGTTTCCAAAAGCACCTCACAAACACCTTTTTAGTTAACCTGATCAATGTATATGCATTTAATTTACCTTATTTCATCATACTCTGAATCTTCACTCAAACTATCTGATGAAATATCCCCAGCATACACTCCAAATTCAGGATTGAGTGTAACAGACACACTTTCAACTGTGCTCACATTGAGACTTGGAATGCCAGTAACATCTACAATTCTAAATAAGCAAATTATGCCGTAATGTTTTAGCAAACAAATCAATTCACGAACACACTTACAGTATATAATGTATATTCAGAAGTTTATACTTACTCATCATGACTAGGTTCATCCTCCATGGCAAATATGGGAGAATAATCAGACAATTGGGGTCTACTCTGTTTTCCCATAGGCGTTGAATGACATGGACCTACAGTAAATGTAATCAGGAAAAAAACATGAACAATATACCCTTGTAAATATTCCTATAGAGCAAAACAAATTATGTGCCAAGATCTTTAGAATATATTGGAAACTCACCTGAAGGCGATGTTTGACCTCTTTGTTCGTCGCTTATACGAAGCAAATAATTAGCAAAATCGCTATTGCTCTTCTCAGAAAATCCAAGGGAATTCTTTTTTATAATCCACTCGTCATACACTTGTGCTTGTAAGCCAATTCGTTTAATAGCAATACCAAGTTTTGGCCTTCCACGCTTTGGCGGCCTATCGCTGGTTGATGTTGCCATATTTTATCATACAAAAACCCACAACCGGGACGAAATGTATGACAAATAAACACTAAATGGAGTATTCCAATACGTATTCTAACCAAAACAATGTCAACTATTTAATATTCAAGAAAGATGTTTAGGATATTCACGGATGACAAAACTCAACTTTATTTTAATGAATTTCTCGACCAACAAAATGGCCGCGGACCAAATTCACGCACGCAATGCATTGTGGTTGACAATGATTCTTTAAGTAATCATAGTTAAGGATTTAACTACAGTGATAACGCTAATCATAATTAAAGTTAACGACGTTTTTATACAACCGGCCCCTATCTACACCGTAGGCTAACCGGCCCCTGGAACGATAACATTCAGTCATTTGGCAGTTAAAAAGTGAAACCTCGCGTGAGCACGCCATATAGTACGTCAGTTTCAGTCCCTTTATACGCCATCACCGCGCGGTCTATCACAAATCAGCGCATGGTTCTCAACACCATGCACCTAGCCTGCGTGCAGGAGATCTACTGCTTTGCCATTCCTGTCCACTTAGACTGCGGGCTACGCCGATTTTCAACATATGTCAAAATTGGCCAATCACACAGGTTGTTTACGTCGGCAAATTTACTTATCAAAATGAAATAATATAGATTGCTTCACGTTTGCAAATTTTAAAACGAAATAATATACGGATGTCGGCTAAAGAAAATTGAAGTCTGTGGGAATAGCGCTAGAGCAGTCTCTAACGTTGTCACACAAGTAGTTTTGCGTCACAAGTAATTTGCGTGTGCGAGAAAGCTACGAAATATCGCGGATACGTACAAATTAGTATCGACAGCGGTTAACCGTGAGGTAAATGTCAAAGGGAAGAGATGTAGGAAAGAGAAAGGTGTCTGAAGCCGTCACTCCAGAGACAGCAAGTCCTGTTCGTAAGCATTCACGGCAGTTCTCTCCTGGCACCAAATTATTAGCTACAAAATCATCAAGAAAAAATCTATTTGTCGTCGATGAAAACGAACACGCACGCGGCTAACAGACGGCAATCGAACGAAGACACCACAGCCACTATCTCTACAGCTTTCGTGAACAAAGTTCGTAAACGCCCTTTTTGTTCATCCTTAAATGTGAATTGTGGTCTTTAATTTAAGCTCTTTTGAACGCAATACTCATGCAAGAAACACTCTCACAATCAAGCTAACAATCAATGATATTTTACTAATTTTAGCATAAATTAGCATATTTTTCATTTTGAGCCATCAGATTTCTTGTTCTCTGGGAGAACGAGTAAAAACGGAAAAGCATAGGGTTTCGTGCAGGCTCTCCTTTCCCTGAGAGCCGCTACGCAGGATACACCCGGTTAATGAATAACTTTCAACATTTCATTGTATTCGCATTGACCAATCAAATTACCTTCTGAGACCGTGAGACGGAAGTGGATTGAATATCCTAGGGCTCCTGAGAGCCACAAGCGCAGAAGCCCTGCATGTATGACGTCGAACGAATTTTATATTACTACTTTTATACAAATATGTCTCATTGAGGTGAAAAATTGAATTTTCCATTCCACGAGGCGAATATTTTACCAGTCCGGCCGAGTATTTTACGAGTTTTGTACGTGTACGTATAATTAAACTGTGCCGATTTTAATACTTAAGTATGAGTTATAATCCTTTACCAGCATACAATTTCGCGAAATATAAAGTGAAACAGACTCCGAATATTAACGTATTTTATTATATAGTAGAGAGTGAGATACTGAGATACTGAAAAATTACGTTCGAAACTCGTAAAATACTCGGCTGGATTAAATGTCAAACCATTCAATAAGATATATGTTAAACTTAATATTCGAGCTAGTAAAATAAGACTATTCGAGCTATTCAAAATATTCTTCTTATCCTTTTTGCTCGAATGTTAAGTTCACAAGATTTTAATATTCCGAGTGTGTTCCATCTTATTTTAGTATTTATTGTATCTCAAATTCAATGTGTCAATCGGAAAGCTAAGTTTGTGCCACGTGAGTATGAAACGGGATTTGACTCATATCACATGCATGGCGATTTGGCCATGTCACTCGGGTAACATGATTCGCGTAAACCACGCGCGGCGCTCACGCAAACAAGATGGCCGACAAAAATTAGGATTAAGTTTTCAAACTTTTTAAAATACTTAAGCAAATTTTGAAAATTGTTACTATACTTGCGTTAATCCAAAATTAAAACATTTACGAAGGTATGTGGCAAGTTTCATATTCTCAACTTGGAGACTTTTAATTTTCGGTATAATATGTTATTTATAGCTCGGGGAATTCGGCGAAATATTACCTTCAGTGATGATATATCATCACTTCTGTTAATATTTCGCCGAATCCACCTCGCTCCAGGTCCATAAGTGATAAGTGTTATTAATTTCAAAGGGTATAATCTGATATATGAATTATAGTCAGTAACGGGACCGCGGAGCCTGTTTAAAAGGGGGGGGGGGGGCGGGATACCACGGGAACTATGCCACGCAGGCAGGCTGGATTTTATCCGGTTATTTTTTTATCCACCAAAAAAGTGGGGGGCTACTTTAATTGCAATGTCAACGAATGAAAAATTGAAAAAAAGTGTAACAATCCCCAGTTGGGACACGAGAAAAACTCAAAACAGGAGTAATAAATACAACAGTATATATAGGTATGATTTTTTTTCTTTAGTACCTTGAGCTGAGGTTTAGTTATGGAGTGAGAATACTTGGTTTTTTCCTGTTTGTCATTTGTTATGTAAGTGCTCAATGTGTAGTATATGTTATTAAACCGATGTCTTTTTCACTATTTTCATTATATATTATCTTGCCTTATGGGACATCCTCGAGCATTCGCATTTTTTTTCTGTAAGTGTACAATTCCCCGTGGTCGGGCTAGATATAGAATGCGTACTTGATCACGATTCATGTCAGTCCACTTTTGCGTGCCCTTTTAAATCCGCCATGTTGAATTTGACTGGGAGTGCAAACTACTAAGTATAAACAAAGCTAAAACTATGTTTTCATTGTCAAAACGTTTTGTCTTGTTGTCAAATTTCTAATTTGGGGATAGATTTTGAAATATTAAGTTCTTTGATGGGACAAAGCAAATGTGCAGATACAAAAACGGTGAAATATAATTTACTCCTAATACATTTTTGCATGCTCTGGACGTTACTATTGTCACTGTTTTGTTAATATCTTATAAAATTACAAAATGATAGTTCTTTATTCGTCGGTTTTCGTTTTTCTTTAATGTAAACGAAGTGTTTTCATGTTCTTGAAACAAAAATATTTAGTTGTCCATAAACTGTAAAAACGCCTAAATTATCGCCGAAAATTATGGTTTCAAAAACTTTGCCTCAAGCTAAAGGAACGTAGAAAATATAAAAGGTAATTGTATAAGTTTAAAAAGATTATTGAACTCCATTTATATTATAAGAAGAGTTGAAATATTTGTAGAACATACCTATTGAGTTTGAGTTTATCTTGATCTTTCGTGTTTTGTTTTGAATTTCACAAAAACGTCGAAATTATATTATTTTAAACGACGATTTCTGTATATATTCTGTTCAGAACTGTTGATTTTCGTAAATAAAACCCATGCACTGGAATGGGTTTTCCTTCTTTACAAATAATACAAAACCTTTTTTCCATTTTAAGTCTCGATAAAAATTTTTTTTTGCAAACTTTGAAGTTGAAAAAACAATTCGCACTCCAAACATCCTTGCCTCAGGAGTCTGAGACCAACCAAATTACAAAATGCCCTTATAAATCCGCCATTTTGTGGAGACAATTTTTTTTGCTGAGAAAAGATAGGAGTAGGCTACGCATTCTATATCTATTATTTCTATGCAATGCCTCTGCCCGTGCGGGAAAAGAAATGATGACAAAGCTCGGCCGAACTAACGAAGAAACGAAGTTTTGCTTGGAGATTATTAATGCTTATAGAAGTGTTTGCATACATGTTTTACATATTCGTAATTTTATAGTACAATTTATTAGAATCCCAGCTTTTAGACAAGAAAACATGCTCCCCTTTGCGAGGCTTTTATAGTCGTAATACAATGTGGGTTAATGTAACTAATGCCCGAACCCCGAGTAAAATAGCTTGCATGCAAATGCCCGGGGAAATTACTTCTGCAGGTGCACGTTCAATATATTTTCTTATATAAACCGATATCTTTTCACTATTGTTATTAATAATATATATTCTCTTGTTCGGAGATTCACAATGCTCCTGTATGCCTCAATTCCTTATTAAATCAGTTTAAAAACTTACAATATATATTGGATTTTCGTCAATAATGAATCTTATGGCTTTGTTTTGTAAAATGAGAAAGAAGAACAAGAATGGACGAAACTTGATTTTTTCCTCTGAAATCACTGCATTGCTTTTCCTAATTTACTGTATATAGTTGCTGTATCTCTCTGTGGTTCTGTACGCTCCATCGCTAGCTCTTCAAGCAGGTAAGAGGGGCACCGAAAAAAAGAGTATTTGCTAGTGACTCTATAGTTTATACACTAAGGTGATACTAATGTAGACCCAATATAAGCCTGTGTAAGGTGAATATCTGATATATACATGAATTTGTGGTTAGAGCTCGGTAACTGGACTCTGTAGCTCAGTCGGTTAGACCGCTGCACCAGAATCTCAGGGCTGCAAGTTCGATTCCTGCAAGAAAGCCTACAGTTCCATTTTTCCTGTTCGTGATTAAGTAAGAGGCTGTCTCCGTAAAAACCTCCAGGTCAGTATGTAGCCTGCTCACAGACGTTGTAGTTCTTACGCCAAGCGACGCAATACTACCGTCTGCTTACCCGAGCGCCAAACTGAATTCCGCTACGTCGAGTCGTCGACCAATCAAACGTTTATACTTTGAAACGTTTATACTCTAACTTGCCTATACTTTTCTACATGACAATGAGAGCTTAATCTTTTAGAAGTTTTCGTCGAAGTTATAGCATATAGGAAGTATCAAGAGCAACATTTGGACATATCCTGATATAGGCCTACTCGAGTTTCCCGATTGATTGTTTGTCATTGTTAACAAAAATTTAAATTTCGCCTACTGCATTGCTTTAGCACTTTATATACACCAATTGTTTGCTGAACATGCGAGAAGATGATCACAATATTATTCTACGTAAACATCGTGAAGTTCAACGCTATAGTTTCCAAAATATATCCACGCAAGTAAACAAATTTCGAGTTTCAACCCAAACAATATATTCCAATGCATGTGCAAGGGCTTTCCCCAGTAGCTAATCTCTCAATAAGGCGGCTTCCAATTGGCTCTAACTTTTTTGAACACTGCCATATGATTGGCTCCTAAAACAAAGGGAATTGAATATGCTGCTCGCGTAAGCAGACGGTAGTAAGAACTACAACGTCTGTGAGCAGGCTAGTCAGTATGGGGCTCAAAAATAGATTTCTCTCATACTCTAGTATTTTGAAGATCTATCCTTTGGAACAACTAAAATCGATGTCATTTTACTCAAATTTCCTTTAAATTATTTTTGGGGGCGATTGATGTTCGATCGACTGGTAACCAACTTAATTGACTCCGAATGGAGGCCAAATATCGACATATTTTCAGCGCTATTTTTTAAATCAAATTCATGCCTAAATTTCAAAATTCTTGCTCAGAAATATAGACTTATCCTTCTATTTTCGCGGGTGATATGACTTAGATCATTATTCTGTGGTATAAAATAGAAAACAGCGCAGTTATTGACCCTCCTGAACGGATATCCTCTCAAAATATGACAACTTCGAAAGCTTATTTCAAAATCGTGGCACTTGATTAGCACATGACTTTAATTTTTCTATAAACTACTAACATTAGTCAACACAAATCGCCAATAATAGCTTTCTGATCTACCATTTGACAAAAATGACAAGCGCGCAAACTTTGTAAAATTTGAAAATGTGTCGAAATCGAGCATACTTTATCGGTAAACATAATTCTTGATATCAACAAATAAAACCACCTTACACTACACTGAATGAAGCTTGATTGTGTAAATATATGTCTTTCATAATTATTCTTTGGTTTTGCACTCGAATGAAATTGTTTGACTGTACAGTTTGGCTTCAAGGATAGTCACTCAATGCCAGTGTGTCCAGTGTGTTCGAATTCTGTGCGCCTCAATGCCATGAGTCCTGATTGTGACATACGAACTTCGCTCTGTTCGCTTTGTTTACCTCCTGTAAATAAAATGTCTCAAATTAGAAATTTCAGAATTAGTCATACTACAGACAATTTTCATACTACAATTTTCATTGGTTTGTTTACCTTAAACTGTTATATAAAGTTTCGTTTTATAGAACGTACGAATTAATCTCGGGGAAAACTCCTAACCAAAAGAAGTGTACTCGCTGAGCGTAAACATGTCAATCAAATGACGATGAAATGTTTCGTTGCTCTCTGATTTCCCTTTCTTTGTATTGCATTAAATACGAGGTTTTTGTGTTTACAATAATGGTGTTTTACTTTTACTACAGCCGCAATTTGTGATCACGCAACGTTAGGTAAACCTAAACGATTTCGAGAGACAGTAGATTTTATGTTGACAGATGAGAATGACGGTAAGCAAAAATGTAGAAGTGTTCCTTTTCTACTTCTGAGTGTGGAAAATTCCGAGACACAATAGACTGTTCTTCGAAGTTGCTGGCGTGTAAGATGAAATTAGTTATCACTTGCAAATTTGTCACCCTTTAAAGCTTGTCGGAAAGAAGAATATAAATTAATTCTAATTTTCAGAACCTTTCTAATTGTTACTGAAGAAAGGAATAACATTGATTAAATAACTGAGACGTTCAAATGGGTTACAGCTCTTTGCGCTGAATTGTTTTGTATTATATCAAAATATTCGCATATTTTTATACAATAAGAAATAATATAAATTCTTGAAGCATAGCCTTGAGCAAAGTGACCCAGGGTCGGCCTGAAAAAGTTGATTTTTTATACAGAACCGTGACTTACTTGAATTCTAGTTTCATTGATAATTGTTTCTAAACTTAGAGACAATTCAGGTTGCTAGAAAACTATACTGAGCGAAACTAACGAAATATTGATATTTGACATCACAGCGAGTATACATTTCTGATTTCTTTCGGCCAGGGCCCGGGGTTTTCCCCGAGATTTAATTCGTACATTCTAAGTTTCTAACGAAACTTTTATAAAACAGTTTAAAAACGATGAAAATTCTGTCTGTAGTATGACTAATTCTGAGTTTTCCAATTTCATTGAACATTGTTATTTGTTAAACAGGTAAAGGTATTTGTTAAAGAGGTAAACAAAGCGAACAGAGCGAAGATTGTATAGTATGTCACAATCAGGACTCGTGGCATTGAGGCGCGCAGAAGACACTGGACACACTGGCATTGAATGACTCTATCCGTGAAGCCAAACTGTACTCAAACAATTTGATTCAAGCGCCAAACCAAAGAATAATGATGAAAGACATATATTTACGTAGTCAAGCTTCATTCAGTGTAGTGTAAGGTGATTTTATCTGTTAATATCAATAATTATGTTTACCGTTAAAGTATGCTCGATTTCGACACATTTTCAAATTTTACAAAGTTTGCGCGCTTGTCATTTTTGTCAAATGGTAGATCAGAAAGATATTATTGGCGATTTGTGTTGACTAATGTTAGTAGTTTATAGAAAAGTTAAAGTCATGTGCCAATCAAGTGCCACGATTTTGAAATAAGCTTTCGAAGTTGACATATTTTGAGACGATATCCTTTATCCGTTCAGGAGGGTCAATAACTGCGCTGTTTTCTATTTTATACCAAAGAATAATGATCTAAGTCATATCACCCCCGAAAATAGAAGGATAAGTCTATATTTCTGAGCAAAAATTTTGAAATTTAGGTATGAATTTGATTTAAAATATAGCCATGAAAATATGTCGATAGTTGGCCTTCATTCGGAGTATCAAGTTGGTTACCAGTCGATCGAACATCAATCGCCCCCAAAAATAATTTAAAGGAAATTTGGGTAAAATGACATCGATTTTAGTTGTTCCCAAGGATAGATCTTCAAAATACTAGAGTATGAGAGAAATCTATTTTTGAGCCCCATATTGACCTGGAGGTTTTTACGGAGACAGCCTCTTAAATTGGAAAGCCTGTATAAATTCTAGACTTTAGGGTTGACATTTGGTATGTTTTGTTTTTGTTATTCACAATACTTTTTATGCATGCATGCGCTTTTTTAATGTGGAAATTATAATCATTTATAACAAACCATGCAGGATTTCTCAAACGTCGGTTTCTTGAAAAAACGTCTGTTTTCTATTCTAAAAAGTAAAGATACACATAATTAGCCTTATGTCTTGATTCGTGCATGGGAGGGAGGCACCCAGGCAAAGAAAGTATTCATGACGTAATTATCAAAATGGTGTTGAAGGTGCATTCATGATTGGAAAGCTATAGTTACTCATTAGCCATTGCGAAGATGCTTCAATTTTCGTAATTCTTTGTTTTGTTGACAAAATGCGTTATCGATTTTCCGTTGTTATCTCCAAATTTTGATTTCCCAAGCTGATTCAGTGACATTCGATAACTTTTTTCGATCGAAGCCAATCGTTCAAATTTAAAAAGGTAACCCTACCATTGGAAAACTGATTGGCCTAAGTATTGAATTTTGAAATTAATGTAAAGATAAACGCTGCTCTATGCAATCCATATAATTATGATGTGAGCCTTTTAAAATTTACAGTTGTTGTTGTCGTTGACCCTGCACTGAAGTCGTCATAGAATACCAGGCCAATCCGAAGCTTTCTTGTTGCTTTCAAGGGCTACAAGAATTTGTTACTTATTATGTCATGCACTGACCAGTGTTTCTCAAATACACTATCATGTCGTTACATGGATAACTGCGGATTGCGAGAGATACAATTACTTGAAAAATATAAGCAGAACCTCGACTTTCGAGCGAAGGCCCTTCGTCGGGAAGTTAGTAGCCTGACAAAATTCCTATTATTTAACGCTTGACCCAGGGCCGTTCCTATAATTGTGCCGGGGGGTGTATATTCATATCTTCATGCTTAGGCCTTTCCCGATTGCGCCGAGGACTTTTTGAGCACTTTAGTTTGGAACACTATTTTGAATGTTGAGCAACCTTGAGCACTTCTTCGCACTTTGGCCAACACTTGAGCAAATATTTCACATTTCGAGCAAATTTCGAGCAACAAAATTAAAAAAGTCAGCGACTATAGAAATTCGTACCTCGATTAACTAAACATACAATTAGGTGTAAGGTTTAAAAATTGACGGGTATTATACTATACCAGAAAATACATGCATGCAGAAACCCTCGCCTTACTAAAAAAACATTGTATTTTCCGGACATGAAGTATCTAAAGTAGTTGTCATGGTAACACGATAATTTTTTAAGAATATTCTTACAAATGAAAAATCGCCTACAAATATCACTTTTAATTACAAAATAATCAATTTCCCAACATATATATGTTAGGTATGTTATTATGCGTAATATAAGCTTCAATTTAAGATAAAATTCAACCACGAACGCTTCGCAAAACGTTTTAAAGGGTTCTTTAATATAAAACTAAACAGCCTAATTAAATGGCTTTACCGATAAACTTTGAGTTTGCAATAAAATGATTTCAAATTCTCGCATGCAAATAACTTTGCTTTCTTTTTTATTTAAAAAATTCAATATAATAAAAAATAGAATCAATATTAAAGATACACTGAACTGAATTATATGCTGTCTTGTTTAGTTGTTTCATATACGCAAAGGCCGTCGAGTTTTAAAACAATTATAAAATCAATATTTAAAACAAACTTACATTCGTTAACGTTGGCTCCCTTCTTTTGGCCGATTCTTTCGCCCTTTCTTTCTAAGAAAGCTTTTGAAATTTACAAAATCTTGCAAAAATGCGAGCAAAAATGAAATATATTTGCAAGAAATTTATCAATCATCAAATCAAGAAATGTTTGCTATTTCGCTGTCGTCATGCAGTCGTTATAATGCAAACTTCAAATCGGACCAATCAGTGTCCGCTATTCATGACAGTCCGCCATATTTTTGAGATCAGTGAGGATGACCACCCATTCAACACTCCAACACCGTTGATGTCCCACGCCCGCGTTTATTGATGAACTTTAGACTTCGCTAATGCTTTCGTTTCCCCGGGTGTAAATAGCCGGGGGGAATTAGTACCCTCGCACGGCGCTTCGCGCCGTCGGCTCGGGGATTATTCTATATATAATTTAGGTAAAACTCCAAAAGAAAAGCCGTACAGCTGCATATGACATTACGGTTAAAAAATTAGAACGCTGACTTTTTCGCGTTCTCTTTTTTTTTGTCGTAAACAACTCCATATACGGAAGTTTGTTCCATATATGGAGAAAGACGTGGAAACAGATTTTAAAAAAATGCCGATTTTAAAAAATTTACGAAAACCTTGGAGGTAACTGTTCACAATTTTAGCACTTTTTGAGCACTATTTTGAGATTTTGAGCACTTTTTAGCCATTTTCGACAGTACTTTTTTAGGATTTTACCAGCGCAATCGGGAAAGGCCTATTCATGCTCACATACCGTAAAAACAATCGCTTTCAAAATAAATCCGTCGGGCAGAACAGGAATATATGAATATACACCCCCCCAATTATTGTGCTAGGAACGGCCCCGCCTTGACCCTCATGCAAATACTTCCATAACCCTGACCTGTCTTTTTCAACATAATATGGTCATATATAACAATGATGCCACGTACCCATGCATGTAGCAACATATTAATCAGAGTATAGACCCATTGCACATGACGTCACAGCGCCGGTGACGATAATGCATCTGGAGGACAAATTAGAAATCTATGCATAATATAACTTTTGTAAACAAAGCAAATTTTGTACAATTTATAATAATTTTGTATCAAAATGGTTAATTTTTGTGCTGTATATGGTTGTTGTACTAGAACAGATATTGTTAGGGGGCATCTGCAGGACACTCTAAGGATTTGTGACGTCAGTGCAACGGATCTACTCTAGTGGCCGGGGATTCTTTAATTGTACCATTGCATCTAAGCCTAAGGACGAAAATGTATTACTTTAATTCGGTCATGCCAGTTTACTTCACACGAAAGCCAAAACTGTGACTTTCCTTCAAAATTAATATCAATTTACTGCGACCAAGCGAGTTTATAATTATATAAAGTTTATTCGGTCTTTTTCTTGGTTGATTATCTGTGATATAATTATATCGAGATGTAATATTAATTTATTCATTCAGCCAGCATATAATCTCTCAGGTAACAACCAAAAACAACTCAGTACTTTACGGTTGAAGACGACTGAATTGAGAAGCGGCAACCAATGGGCATCAGCGCATTTTTACTTATATGTTTCGATTCGTTAATGATATTAATTAATGAGGCCATTTGTACAATCTTTGCATTGCCATCCATACCTCTTCCAATTTCTTCTTTGCCAGATAACGTTCAATTATTTTTTGCAGAATTATTTTTCGCCCCGGTACCTGCTCCTCAAGCTGTAAGAAAAGTAGACTGCTTATATAATATTTGACTAATTAGATGACACCGGAAATATGCCAAAAACAGAAGTATTAATTACCCCCTGCATGGGCGTACGAGACAGGGGGGTGGGGGCTGGGGTTTGTAAACCCATGGAAATTCGGACAAATGCTAGGAATAATTCGGGAAATATATCACAAAATACGTTACATTTTTGTCATTTCATTTCAATATTTGACAAAATTCGAGCACAATTTCAAGTGCCAACTCCCCCCCCCCTCCACCGGAAAGTACAGGCCCGTACGCTTATTACCCCCTGGACGTCGTTTGGCCGCAGGAGTCTAAAAATGGGGAACCTTTCTTGAGTGTGAAAAACTGGAATATCTGCAAATCTGGCCTTTCCGATTTTAGGAATGGAATATGTATTAGAAAACGCAAGTAACAGGAAAATGCAATAGAACGTATTAAAACGATTGAATTGTTTCGCTTTTGCGGTCAGGTATGCCGGAAGTTGTTGAGGGAAACGGGTGCGGTTTGTTATCAAAGGGCATATTTTTAACATAAGGTAACATAGCGTAATTTGTTAGCAGATTTTCAAAAATCTATTAGATTTCTACTAACAAACAAATCAATGCCGACACAAGGAATTTACGTAAGTAATCTGTTCGTGTGAAATACGTTCGTGTTAAGTCTACTGTGCATCCGTTGCACCCATAGTTTGCACCCGCACTTCAACTAAACAGTTGTGAATACAAAAGGCAAATGGTGCCCTTGCACCCGCTGCACCCGTGGTTCCAGTATCCCTGTTTGCGATTTTGTCTATACTAATCTATGCCCAAACCAGCCAGTACAAAAGTTTACGTACGAATAGTTTTGAGCGTAAAACTCAAATTTCATATTTGAAAATTCTAGATTTCTCACATGAAATGATCGACTTCACATGGAAGTGTTCTAATTTCCACATAAAATGTTGCATGTGGAATGATACTAAATGAACTTTCCATTGTGTAATAGAGTTGTGGTCGATTCTCCTGTACCCTTAATTCTTCAGAATCCCAGGGTAGCAGGGTCGATTCCTGTCAGGGCCTTTAATTATAGTTGCATATTTCGCACCTGCTCCTCGTTAATTGGGTCTAATACACTCCAATAAAATTTACACTCGAAATTTCCATCTACAAAACCCTCCAACATTACTTCTATCGAATGAGATGCACCAAAATCCTGATATTTCTTCAGGATATTCTGTTTTTTCTCCTCCAACTATTTAACAATTATTCGCCGAAGGCGAGGTGATTATCGGGGAATATTTGCCGATAATCTAATATATGAATATTCCCCGATAATCACCGAGTCTGAGTCTTTCGTGTTTTGGGGGACTGAGCCTAAGTCTTTTGTGTTTCGGGGGACTGAATTGAATTTATTATAATTTCGCTTATTTATTTATCAGTAGGCCTATCTTCCACAAAACGGCTAGCCGCCATTTTGAAAATTTCGGTTTTGTTATATTCACCTGTAGGTGAATATAACAGTTTGATACGTCAAATTTGACCGATCAACTTGTAGGATTTGTTATGTTCACTTGTGCAAAAATACTAATTAACAGTTATTCAACGAACACGAGTCAAATATGAGCTGATAGCAGATGAGGCGCCTAGCGTCGAATCGGCTATCGCTCATATTCGACGAGCGTGAGTGGAATAACTGTTTTATTATATGCAAGGTCTGAATTCACAGACTTTGTTTTTCGGATATTTTCAATATTTTTCAATTTTGTTTATGTTTTTACCTTCGCTCTTTTGGCCGATTATTTTTTCAATAATATATATTTATAAAAAGGGGAGCACATGTACAGTAGGCCTGTGATCGAATAAGTGAATGATATATACCTATTCCCTGTATGAATTACCTCATGGTTTTCAACATCATCCTCAGTTGGATTCTTTGCAATTGATTTAACTTTCCACTAGCAAACATAAATAAGTATGTATTTTAATCTCTCGATATTTATTTTTCCCTGGGAACGAGATTGGATGGGAGTATCAATCGCAAGAAACCGCAGGGAAAAAATAAAGCACGTAAAAAGCCGCAACCGGT